TGCGGTGTGTAGTTGCTGGTGAGAATATGCTTCAGGTTGGCGGGTTGTCTGTGGGCAAGGACCAGCCTACCTCCCAAGGCCTGTGAAAGCAAGGGATCATCGTCCAGGATGGGTTGTAGATCAATAATGATGTGTTGGAGAGGTTTTAGCTGAGGACTGTAGGTGATGGCCAGTGGTGTTCTGTTGGTTTCTTTCTTGGGCTTGTCCCATAGCAGGAGGCTTCTGGGTACACGTCTGGCTCTGTCAATCAGTCAGATATCAGCATAACAGGGGTGTGAATAATATGTCATTCAGGGGCATACAATAGAGACTCTTCTTGCATGTCCAGGGGGTTTGTGTCTTTGATTCAAATAGGGCAGTGAAATATAGGAGTCTCCTCACCTCAAAAAAGATATTTTGGCCTTGGAAAGGGTTCAGAAAAGGGCAACTAAAATGATTAGGGGTTTGGAACGGGTCCCATATGAGGAGAGGTTAAAGCGACTGGGACTTTTCAGTTTAGAAAAGAGGAGACTGAGGGGGGATATGATAGAGGTCTATAAAATCATGAGTGGTGTGGAGAGGGCTGATAAAGAAAAGTTATTTATTAGTTCCCATAATAGAAGAACTAGAGGACACCAAATGAAATTAATGGGTAGCAGGTTTAAAACTAATAAAAGAAAGTTCTTCTTCACACAGCGTGTAGTCAACCTGTGGAACTCCTTGCCAGAGGAGGCTGTGAAGGCTAGGACTATAATAGAGTTTAAAGAGAAGCTGGATAAATTCATGGAGGTTAGGTCCATAAAAGGCTATTAGCCAGGGGATAAAATGGTGTCCTTGGCCTCTGTTTGTCAGAGGCTGGAGAGGGATGGCAGGAGACAAATCGCTTGATCATTGTCTTCAGTCCACCCTCTCTGGGGCACCTGGTGCTGGCCACTGTCGGTAGACAGGATACTGGGCTAGATGGACCTTTGGTCTGACCCAGTACGGCCATTCTTATGTTCTTATGTAGGAGTCTTAGCTACTGATCTGGTGTTTCTGAGGTAAGTTTTAGAGTAGTTGTATTTTTCACTGGAGCAACAGCTGAACTTCTTGAAAGAGCTCAGATGAGGAATTACATAGGGAAAAGCTCGCTGTATATTGATGCACCTGTGGCTTTTCCTGTAACTGGCAAAACATTTGGGGAAGGGGAGGAGACCGGCATATGGAGATCAGCCAAATGGAGATCAGCATTTCCTTGTGACTTGATGGTAAACAACATAAGAGACAGGACTTTGACTGCTCTTTCCCAGTCATTCTGTGCTTTTCTGTTGGCTCTGTTTCTTGCACATACTTAGTTCACTTTTATGGTTTGTTTGAATGAGTTCTGATAATCATAGGCTTCTGGAATTCATTGACGAGTTTCTGTAAGTGCTGCAGATACGTGTTCTTTCTTTTATGATGCTGAAGGAATGATGCATGAAGGCAAGTGACTGGGTCGTTAATGGGGATGTACTGAAGTACTTCATTTTACCTTCTGTTGCACATTGGGCACAATCTGCTGTTGCCCTTGGGCTGAGATTTTCTTTTCTTTGCTGGGAAGTCACAGAGAGGACAGAACATAAGATCTTTTTTCTTATGTTTCTGCTTTCAAATTCCTAACCCTCTGATATCTCTGCACATTAGAAATGTGAATGTGTATCTACACAATTAACTGAGGCGCCTGGGCTGGACAGTTAACCTCACAGTTACATTCAGCTCCCCTTCTCCGCCCCCCACTGCTCTGTCTCAGAGGCAGTGGGTGGGGGAGGGAAGGCAGGAGCTGGTGCACGTGGGGAGCTGGCTTCTAAGCCTACTCCCCTTGCATGTTGGCTCCCACGGAGCCGGCTCCACCCCCACCTCCTGCTGCCTCTCATGAAGGCAGAATCGGAGGAGGGGGTCAGGAAGGAGCCAGCTTAAAAGCTGGTTCCTTATGAACACTGGCTCCCTTGTCTCCCTCCCTCTCTGCATCACTGCTTCTGATACAGAGGCAGCAGCATGGAGAGCGGGAACAGGCAAGAGTCGGTACGTGCAGGGAGCCAGTTTTCAAGCCCATTGCCTGCATGTACTGGCTCCCAATGAACCAACTAGCCTTCTCCCCCATGCTACTGCATCCCCGCAAGCACCAGCCCCCCTGAGTGTAAACATGTAATCACTGAAAACATGTAACCGCTGTCCTGGTGGAATGTACTTACATATTTCATGTGCTTTTAGCAGTGCTAGCAGTTCTAGTGCCGAGAGACACTGACTTGCAGACAAACATTTACTTTTAACACGGCCTGTCTGTTACTCATAGTATAACTCTTGCTTGCTTTGGTTCAACCCCAGGCCCATGCTTCATACTTTTTCTTTCTCCTACAACACATTTAAAAAATAAACTAATTTTAATATGCCTACTCCGCATTCCTTGAATCTGAGAGGAAAGAAGCAGATTCTTATCAATCTCATTAGCACTCTCCCCATTTTCACTTCCAACACTCCGGTCATCTGAAGAAGTGAGCTGTGCCCACGAAAGCTCATGATACCATCTACATGTTTTGTTACACTTTAAAGTGCTACCAAACTATTTGTTGTTTTTTAAGGTTTTCCCATTTTCATGGTATATCTTGAGCAGAATCTGTTGACTGAATGAACTCTTGAGGCTTGTGGGTATTATGTATGTTCATTACAGGTAAGTAACGCCTTTGAATGTTGATAACTGAATCCTTTAAGGACAGTTAGTTCTGGCAAATAAGACAGCAGTCATGCTATGAATGGAGGTAGCTTTGCACACACAAAGCAGCATATTAAAGCGCCAGTGAAAACTAATAAAATTTCATTTGCAATGTGTTTAAATGATCTTGTTGTCTTAAAGAATTTAAGTCCTTAGTAAACTTTTAAGGGAAGGAGTTATTGAAGGTGCCCTGAAGAGAGAGCAGAATTGGGCTTCTGCCTCTTGTTTCTTTTTTGTATGCAAAGAAGTGCTGAGAGGTTGATACTCCTGCTTGGTTTTTGGCTTAGAAATATCTAAAATGTCCGTTTCCCTGTTTGTTTGTTTGTTTGTTTTTCAAGAGTACTCCCTGGAATGACCCTGAATTGTGGATTAGAAGCTCTCTCTTGTTGGGAAAAGGATGATGAATCTTGTAACAAAACAGCTTCTCTTTCAGCTGTTTATCGGGCATTTGGGTTATATAAGTATTAACAAAAAATAGACAACATCCAAAGAGTCTGAATAAAAATCACTTCCCTTTCTCATTCGAGTTTCACAGGTTTGGTTTCTGAAAAATTACTAGTTCTCTAGCTCTGTGGTTGTCAATCAAGGATACACATACGCCTGGGGGTACGCAGAGGTCTTCCAGGAGATATATCAATTCCCCTAGATATTTCCCTAGCTTTACAACAGGCTATATAAAAAGTACCAGCAAAGTCAGTATGAAGTAAGATTTCATTTAGTTACTTTTTTGTACTGCTGTATATACTGACTATACAGTGAAATATAAATACAGTATTCATAGTCTAATTGGTTTTATTTATAATTATATGCTAAGGTGAAACAGCAATTTTTCAGTAACAGCATACTGTGCCACTTTGGTATTTTATGTCTGATTTTGTAAGCAAGTAGTTTTTAAGTGTGGTGAAACTTGGTGGTATGCAAGACCAATCAGACTCCTGCAAGGGGTACATTAGTCTGGAAAGGTTGAGAGCCACTGCTCTAGCTGTCCACAGTGTTTTACAGGAGAAAGAGCACATGAATTTCAAATGTAAAAAACAAGCAGTTAGAAGACAATTTCAAAGAGCCTCTAATGCTAACTTCATACCTCATAAAGAGGGAAACAAGGGCCCCAAGCCTGCCTGCCTTTCTTTCTTTCTTTCTTTCTTTCTTTCTTTCTTTCTTTCTTTCTTTCTTTCTTTCTTTCTTTCTTTCTTTCTTTCTTTCTTTCTTTCTTTCTTTCTTTCTTTCTTTCTTTCTTTCTTTCTTTCTTTCTTTCTTTCTTTCTAGTTTAATAAACGGCTGCTGAGATGGGAGAGAGAGAGAACAGACTCTTTATTTTATATCTTAACTAATCAATACTTGTTTTCTTCCCGTTGACAGCACACACAAGTGTAGTTCAAAGTCTGAGACTATTAGAAGCAGGTGGGCATCCCTATAGCATCTGAACTAAGCTCCAGCTTGTCTCTCAGTCTGTTGGGCTATCAGTTCCCATCTTTCCAGCTTTTGTGACCTACTTCAATCCTCTAAGCTCACAGGCGGACAGTTTAAAAAAATGAGTGCCTGGAGGTAAGCTCCATATTTAGCCATTTAATAAGAGGCCTCAATTTAGAAAGTGCTCAGCCTCCCACAATTCCCATTGAAGCCACTTTTGCTGATCAAATGTGCTTCCCATCTAGGTCAAACCTATCAAGAATTGTTATCCTGTAACAATCACCCCAAGGTTTGCTGCCCAAGTCCTTTTCTTTTCTGGGTCAGCAGGA